GAACGAAATAGCAAGTGAACTAAATGAGAGTTTAATTGGAAAATGACTCAGTTCAAAAAACTGATTATAACTTATGTTTAGTGTTCTATCCCGTGAAAGCATGAAGTAATCATGAACTCTATCAGTTACTGTACAAGCGACTGACTTACTAATCACATAGACTTGCGATAAACTTTCATCGATTTTGATTTTCTGTTGAATTTTGCGAAGTGCAACGCTGAATTTTTAAGAAATTCTATCACATTCAAGAAGTACCTGGCTGAGTCAGGCCGGGATCTTCAAATCATATGTTTCAACCCATTCATGCTAATCGCTAAACCAAATGTTTGCTCGTTACTTTGGGATGACTCGATGAATNCATTTGAGAGCCTGCTGATCAATTTAGTGATTTTATGCACCGAGTTTCTGTGGGTTTGAACCTTATTTCCCTGGGAAGGCATTGCTTGGAACCGAATATTAGACGCATATCGTGGAAAATTATCGCGTTTAAACTAGGCTGTACTTTTGCTTCTACCTGCACTACCTATTCACAATTGTCCTTCTCTCACAATATGAACTGTTCCCATTGGAATTGACACTTCGTTTCTGATATATTTCTTTGCAAACACTGAGTTGTTCTCCGCTTAACTGGCAAAATTTTTGAGCAGATAATTGGTTTGTTGCCTCTGATTAAAGCCCTCGAGATATGCGATGAGCCCTCGTTACTAAAGCGATTGCATATGAATTCGTTGATCTTCGATACTCCCAAATGAATCTAAATTTCTTGCAATCTCTCGCCAATTCCACATTTACTTCACGAATGCAAATCATTTGAGCAGGAAAAGAGGAGGAAATGAACAGATTGTGAGGAGAGTATTTTGCTGAAATGATGTAAGTGCTAGTTGAAAGACTGACGGAGAAAATGTTTATCATTAGTTCTGTTTAGAATGATATTTGTGCAAAAGTTCATGAGAAGCAATTGCTGCCATAATGCCAATTGTAGTACATGAACAATGGTACTTAGCAAGGAATTGTAGTGATAGTGCCTGAAAAGCAAACAGATCTATCAGAAATGCACTCTGAGACTATTCTCCTTAACGTTTTCCTTATCAGCTTAAACTAGGCGGCTAATTTTGCTAATTTTTGCTCATCAAAAGGGTGACATGAACATAGAAAATCAATGAATTACGACTATACCAAAAGGGTGATGCTGCTGCAAACTACGATCTATAAAAGTGTCATTGCTATAAGTTGTAAAGAGAGTAGTTTGAAGAAATGATGAAAACTAGAGCCGTCGAGGCATGCGATGAGCGTCACTAGAGCGAGTACATATGAAACCGCTGAACTCAGATAATCCCAATTGAATCCAAATTTCTTGTTATATTCACAAATGAATAATAATCTCTGTATTCATTGCTACGAATAGTCATTTATAGCAGCAGTATTGTTTAGGTGGAACCTGACAGCAGTTATAAATATATGATAATATTACTAATAATAACAGTGATAATCATGATAGTAAAAGCATTAAATTTCAGATTGATATTAGTGGCGTTTGAAGGGAGCTGTTACTGTAGGCGAATGAAAAAAAGCAATATAGTATCAACTCAAGTTGCGTTCGTGAAAAGTCAAACGACAGCAGCAAAGAATCGCCTTGTGAGGATCTCATCATGACTGTGGCTTTTATCTATTATAGTACTGATGGCATCCGAACCGACGGACGCTCGAAAAAATCCGACAATTTCGGTCGGAGTTCCGACAATCGGATTCTAGCCGAATAATTTGAAAGGCCGGTCGCAATTCCGATTGTCGGAAATTCCAAAGCTCAATTCGGCCAGATTCCGATTGAACCGTTTCGACAGTCGTTGGGCATTCCAACTGTCGGAGTGATGAAATTTCATGTCGGCGGCTCGGGTTCGGATCGAAATGAAATTTCGCCCCGATGCCATCACCAGTATGCAGTATCCTTGATGCCCTCAGCTGATTTCATATCGCCGTATCCATACGTGATTGCCATGCATTGTTGCCCGCTTTTAGTCACTGCTTGCGTGGATCGCTTTATTTTGTCTATAAATTGTTGATTTCAACTCATATCAGTGGTTGAGTTAATCAGGAACGAACCTTAGCAATCTAAACGATGTGGAACGAGCGGTGTGGAATGGGAAAACGCGAAAATTTCTTGAATTTTCGCTTGTTTTATGAACGATTTCTGAATTTATTTCATGAGGATACCTCAGATTCAGTGATGGAAACACGTCACTTCTTCAGTTATCTAATTCCGTAAATGAGTCATTGGTAATCCGATGCCAACAGTGTGTTTTTTGTTAATTTGTTCATATGTTCAAATAGAACATGGTTGATGTTATTTTTTATTTGTGCAATATATTGTAATCGTTAATATTAGTTATCAATTAATTGTATAAACTTATTTTGACAATTCTACTCGACAACATGCAAACATACCCAGCAAGAATTCCAATTAGTTCGTACAGTACAAATACAGTAAAATTTTTGTGGAAACATTCTCATGCGTAATTCAACAGAGCACAACCTGATTAATGCAACAAATTAATCCATTGAATATTGTCCTTTTAAAATTAAAAATGTTCATGTGGACACAACTGAAGATGGCATTTACTCTCAGAAACCCGTCGGCTGAAAAACAAGTATGAACACGATAAAAATTCCAAATGAAATTCATTATTTTCGAATCTTTCTTCCTCATTGTACAATGCAATACAGTTACTTACCTTCATATCTTGCTTATGTAATTTACTGATCAAACTAAACTAAAAGCGCTAGAGAGCTAGGTGACTTCATTTCTTTATAGTGTGGAAGTAGTTCGCTTATCACTGGAATGTTTGAGAAGAGTATCAGTGAAAGAGTTCACAATAAAAGATAAACATTCAGCTAGCACATCAGGAATGCATGATACATTATTGTTTTCAATTATGCATTTCAAAGGTATATTCCGAATGTTACTCTCTCT